AATATGTTAATGTGTTTGTAACTGGGTTTGGTTGGCAAGTAAATACCACTAAAAGCCATATGGACTTTCAAACTCTTATCTATGGGTAGAATATTACATTCACATGCTTTGGCATAATGTCCACTCATAATTTAAATAAAATTTGTTTAAATTATACTTACCTTTTCTAAACAGATGGACTTCAGCCAAGTAAAGTACTGGATAAATAAAAAGTTTATTTACTCTTTTCATATGCTTTTAAAATATATGTCTTAATGTTTTCATATTTATTAACTAAATTTATATGACAGATACTATGATGATTCATTTTCTACACCTCAGCAAATGACAATCCATACAGTGCATTAAATTTTGATATAATTTGATTTGTATGGCATGACCTGCTTTAAAGATTTTCTTTTCATAAGTTAATTATTGTTTCAATGAAAAGTTTTTATAAACTTGGCAGCTTATTTTAAATAAGCCTTACATTATTAAATTGTTAGATGTTTTTAATTAAACTAATTTTCACATTGACAGAGAGGAAGGTATGATGATTTACCCAGGATTGAAAAGTCTTTGTAACAGTATGAAAGAATTTGCATATGCCATATTGGGAACCGTGTTATATTATGCTATCCTGAATCCTGAAAGGATATATTGAAAAATTGTGTTATAAATTACTGATGCTGAAATAATGTGAAAATATCACTGGAAAATTAATAACATAACCTTTATTTCTGTAACAGTAAATTTGGTGGAATACAGAGCAGTGTTTCAAGCTATAGAAAATAGCTCTTTTAAGATTTTTTTCTTGATTCTCTGATTTTACCTGGAAGGTTCTAATCATTTGTTTTTGGGGGTTTTCCAAGGGATGAGTAGAGTTCCTGACATGCAGCAGGCATTCAGTAAATATTTTTTAGTCTTCTTGGATTGTTCACTCTCTCTTATTGACTCTTCCCATCCCCAGTGTCCTATTGATTGCCAAATTCTGACCATTGAGCTTCCATCCTTACTGCCATTACCTTAGTTCACATGACCCTAGTTCATATTCCCTTCCCACTGAAGGTCACCCTGCCTCAAGTCATGTGCCCCTCCACTCCATTGTCTACAGACCAATGGTATCTATTTGAAACATACGCGATTAAATTATTTCTTCCACTCACTACCATTCAATACCTCCCCATTTCCTTTAAGACAAAGTCTAAATTCTAGTATGATCAGTGATGCTTTTTCTGACCTGGCTTCTACCTTCCCATCTTCCTTCTTTATGCTTCTTGAATTTCATACTGAGCTACTTACAGCAGCTCCTCTAGCACCATTCTCTCTCCTCTCCAAATGTACGTACATACTTCTCTTTCTGTCTAGAATCCCATCGGCAATTCAGGTAGCTCACTTTTTTTCACTTCTTTTGAACTCACTAGGCATTGCCTCAGACTATCTTGCCTTGACTTTTCTAGTGTGGGTTACGACCTGTCATGACATTTTTGGCAATGTACTGTAATTGGCTATTTACTTATTTACTTATTATGGCTATTACTATTATGGCTATTTACTTATTATGGCTATTACTCAGTTGTAGACTCCTTGAGGGCAAGATATGTGTCCTGTTCATCACTGAATCCTGATTACCAGAGAGCCAACTCAGTTAATAAATTCAAATTCTTGTAAATTGTGCTGCAATAAACATTTGAGTATAAGTGTCTTTTTGGTAAAATGGCTTTTTTTCCCTTTGGGTAAATACCCAGTAGTGGGATTGCTGGAAATAGTAGATCTACTTTTAGTTCTTTGAGGTATCTCCATACTGTTTTCCATAGAGGTTGTACTAATTTGAAGTCCTACTGACAGTGTATACGTTTTGTAACAACCTGGTTGAAACTGGAGACCATTCCCCTAAGTGAAGTATTGCAAGAATGGAAAAACAAACACCACATGTACTCACTATTAAATTGGAACTAACCGATCAGCACTCATGCGCACATAAGGATGTAAAAGTCAATGGAAATCAAGCAGGTAGGAGTGAGGAAGGGATGGGCGGGGTGAAATCATACCTAACAGGTATAATGTACACTATCTGGGGGATGAGCACACTTATACTTTGACTCAAGCGATACAAAAGTTTAATTCATGTAACCAAAACATTTATACTCCCTTAACATTCTGAAATAAAAAAAATTCAAGTTCTTCTTCTTCTGTTCCAGATTAGCATAAGAGGATATACTTACTCTGAACACAATATGTTCAGCTTGATTTTCTGGACTCTAGAGGTTGGTGTCAAGGACAGTAAAAATGATTCTATTGTGTTGAGTGATCTTATCCTGTGAATGGAATAATAATCTGTTGTAGGGAGGTGATGACATATTTGCATATGTCAAAATTATGCTGTTTGTCTAGCTGACTGCCCTGTGGAAGGAAATTATTCATCTTAGAGTAAAAATATGTGGGCATGCTCTAAGACAGCATTGTCCAGTAGCAATATAATGTGAGCTACATATGTAATTTAAAAATTTCTAGTAGCCACATTAGAAAAGTAAAAAGGAACAGGTGAAATTAATTTTATCAATAAATTTTATTTAACTCATTATATTCCAAATATTGTCATCACAACATGTAATCAATATAAAAATCCTTAATGAGATATTTTATATTCTTTTTGTACTTGATCTTTGAAATATGGTATATGTTTTATACTTATAGCACATCTCAATTTAGATTAGCTATATCTCTAGAGCTCAAGAGTGACATATGGCTAGTAGCTACCATATTGGAGCTTAAGTAGAACATGTTAACTTAGAATAGGACTGCAAATAGTTCCAGGGTTTCCCTTTAGGATTCTTGATGCTGTGATGAGATAATGTCTTTCCTTCCATGAAGGAGACAATAATGAATAGGTCTTAGAGAAGAATAATAAGAAGAGTGAGGAAATACACATGAATGGCATTACATTTAGTAGATCTCAAGAAGCAAGATCCAAATAGAGAAAGTTCTCTTAATTGTGCTTAACCAAAGGTGAGATGGTCTGACATAGCACTTCCTAGACCGTGTGAGATGCCAACAGGGGTTCCAGGGAAAAGGGTTAAATGGCCAAATATGTCTGACGAATAATGGGTTAAATAGGTGGAGCAGGGTTTTTTTTTTTTACTGAATGATTTATGATAATCTTTAAAAAGAAATATATTTAAAAAATTATACAAGTACTTCATGAATAGATTCACTTAAAAAAATTAAGGAATTATAAAATCTCTCCTGGATGCCAATCTAATCCCATTTCCCAATCCAGAGATAAGTATCATCCCAAATTCTGTTGCTATACTGGAAAATATCTTTCCAGATTTTTTTCTATACATTTACAAACACACGTGTACTTAGGTATATTTATAGTGTTTTCTTTTGTTGTATCATACCATAATTGTGTTGCTTTTTGCTTTTTTCAATTAATATATCTTGGAGTTTCTTATTAAATATGTGTATGCACATGCGCGCGTGCGTGCACACACACACATAGAGCCAATCAGGGTTTGGGCATGAAATAGAATGAAATTCAAATGGTTCATGAGACTTTAGTGATGAGTCTAACACAGAAGAATGAGCAGGGTTGAAGGAACTAACTTGCAAGAGTGAGCCACCCAGAGATGGGCAACAGGAGGAGCTGTTAGTAGCCCTCGCTTGAAGGAGAAAGAAGAGGAAATAAGAGCTGGATGTCCAATGGAAGCTTAAGTCTTAGAGGGATTTAGCTATGACCAGAAATGAGGTACCAAACAAGGAGAAAACAGGTAAGAAATGGTCTGACCTGTCTTTCTTCCTGTCTTCTGCTGGTGTTTCCTGTTGGCTGAATATCATGGAAAGCCAGCATGTGATGGGGCCTACATAATGCAGTTTACAGGGTCCAATCTCTCAGGGAACATTGCAGGGCAGAGAAAGGCAGAGACTGTCTCTTGGGATGGGGAAGTAATATAGAATAATAAGAACTCCTTTCTTATTGGTTTTGCTACTATATAACCTTTCATAGATGGATGTACTCTATTTGGCTATTTGACTTGTAATGAATAATTAGGCTACTTATAGTTTTACATTTTTATGAACACTGCTACAGTGGACATTTTTGTATCTATCTCTTGTAAACATTCATAAGTGTTTCTCTAGGATAGATACTAAGCAGTAAAACTATAGGTCATAAAGATTGTACATTATAGATTTTAATAGACAGTTGTCATCATTGTTTTCCAAAGTTGTTATAGCATTTTCCAGCCATCAGTGTGTGAGAATACCTGTGTCCTCATACAGTTGGCAGTACTTGAGATCAGAGATTCTAGAACTTTTCTTAGCTATTTGACCTTGGAACTCTTTTCTCTCCTGAAATTCTAGTAACATTTTGTTTCTAGACTACATTTTGAGAGACATTGATTTACTGGCTAGAAGTCTTTGGAGCCATCCACTTAATAGCTGTGTGGCCTTGATCAAGTTTCTTAGCTTCTCTGAGCCTCAGTTTCCTGGAATTAATAATATCTGTTTTGTAGAGTTCTTGAGAGTATTAAATGCACTAGGGCAGAAGGTGGTAGCTAAAAAGGTGGTGGGTTGAAGAGGGAGAGGATATGTTTTAACAAGGTTTTTAAGGAAAAATTTCTTTTGCTATTTTTAAACTTTACCAAAATTTCCCTAAGGGCGGAGGAAGGTCACCTATGCCACGGGGTTCTGAAGTTGTGATTGTCGAAGCTATCCAACACACTTGTGAAGTGGTTTTACCTTTAAAAAATCATATAAATATTATTTTCAAACCAGTAATTTATACTTTTTCAAGGTATAAAATAAATATATTTTTAATTGTCAGCTAGTTATTTTTATGTAAAGTCTTTGTACAAAATTTTTGAATAAGAGGATATGCCTTCTTTACCATATAGTTTCAAGTAAATTGCTATTTATGCTACATTAAGGGGCTCAGCCAGGAACAGTGACGTTATATTTATTTAAAAATTACTTTTGAGCATTTATTAAATGCAAGGCACTATGCTAGAAATTGGGATTAAAGTTTTTGTCCTTAAGGAACTTATAGTTTAGTGGTATAGGTAGATAACAAGTAAATAAACACAGAAGGAAAATGACTACAAAGTATGATATTTATTCTGAAGGATCTTGTAAAGAATCTATATAGTGGACTGGAGGGGGACTATTTTGAATACATTTTTCTAAAGAATTATCATTTTAGCTGAGTACTGAAGGACAAGAATGAGCCAGCCACTCTAGGAAGTGGGGGAAGGGCATTCTAGGAAAAGGGAACTGTAAGAATAAGGGTTCCAGGTGGAAGAAGTTCTTGGCACATTCGAGAAACAGAAAAGAGAATTGTTTGTTGCACAGTAGATACTTGGAGTGGTCTTATGAGATATGGAAGGAGTAGGCAGAAGCCAGATGATGTGAGGTTTTATAAGTTATGGTAAGGCATTTGAATTTTATTCTATGAGCAATCTAAAGACAGTAACGTTTCTAGTTAGGGGAGTGATATGATTTGAATTTAAAAATCATTCTGGATATCATATGAATAATGGATCAGAGAGGGGAAGAGAGAGACCAGTTAGAAGGCAGCTTGGAGGAGGATGTGGGAGGAGAATGTAGAGGTAGGTGGATTTGGAAAATATTTTGGAAGCATAATTGACAGGATTTTGTAATAGATTGAATGGAGTAGATGAGAAGAAGGAAGGAGTCAAAAATGGCATAAGTTTTGAACTTGAGCAAGTGGAGTCAATGGTAGTGTCATTTGCTGAAATAGAGAAGATTTGGAAGAGAAAGCTTGAGCTTCTTTCAGGCATATCCAGTGAGAAATGACTGTTAAAATACCCACAGTGTTATCTCAGGAAGTTGAAAATTACAGGTGGGTAGAAGGAGTCATTAGCTCAGGGGGTCTAGCCACCTGGAGGGGATGTTAAAACACTAATTGCTGACATTAAATCCAGAGTTTCTAATACAGAAGCTCTGGAAAATATGCATTTCTAACAAGTTCCCAGGTGATGCTGATGTCCTGGGACCACACTTTGAGAACCACTAAATTAACATGAAAGTGAATGAGATCACCTAAAAAGAGAATGTAGATAAGGAGACAAAAAGAATATAGGATCAGGCCTGGGACCTTCAGAATTTAGATGCTTAGAAAGAGAATTATCTAATTTTTGAAATTATCCTCTGAGAAAGTTTTCTTCCAAACCTCAAGCAAACTTATTTCTCTGGGTTCCTAGCAGCTAGAAAGTACAAGTCCAGAACTTTAGAGTAATAATTAAAGAATTTTAGCAGTTTGAATAACCTTCATCAAAAAAAATGATTCATTTGTAGTAAAAATAGGCATCATTATTTATTTCATTGCATTTTTATCCTTTGAAAAAATTATCTAAGTAGAATTTCTTAGCCGAACAGTATGGAAATAGCCAGAATACTTTGCCTGCCCCAGGTATATTGAACAAATAGAAGTTTTGTCTTTTGTTTTGCAAAAGGGTTAGAGGTAATATTTTCCTGTTTTACCAGAAACCAATGAAGGAATCCTGTTGCTTTAATGCCTGTTTTTCTCCTGTGCAGAATATTTGTTCAATTTCTTTCCAGCTGGATGTGATATATTAAAATCAACCAGAATAGCATAAATTTCTCATTAAGGGGCATAATTCATAATGGATATGTTGGCAGAAATAAAATATTTAATCAACTATTTAAAATAAATCCAAATCAGTGATTATTACACTGATTACAAAGGAAGTATCTTGTTATGTAGAATAGAATATTTATGAATATGTGTTTTCTATCATTTTGGATACTGATAATGCACTTATAAAATGCTTCAGATTGATTAAAGTTTCTCTGCCCTGAAGGACCAGTTTTAGTTACTAAATTTCTCATTATCCTCATCTCTTTCATGTGCAAGCTTAAAGGAAATAGAACATTTCTATAGTGACTGCTGGCCATAAAAAGTCATTAGAAAACTTAAAACATTGAAATGGATAATAGAAAAAACTCTATGTAGATGTAAATAAACTTTGCTTTTAAATTCTCTATATCATATGCTTTATTTTCTAATTAGAGATAACCGTAACTACAGGAAAGTAACAAAAAAATGTTTCATTATCTCTATTTTATCAGGTTGTTTTTAGCTATTTCAGATTTTTTTTTTAAAAAAATCCTGGTATATTAAAGTCTTTTGTAGCAGTTATCAAAACATCAATGTAGACAGGTTTCCTAATTTAGTCTGAGGTTGTCCTTATAATTTGATATCCTTTAATTTCTTGGAGACACTTGGATGACTTGTAATCATGGGATCTAGTCTCACAGTGAAATGGTGATCACCCACATTTTGTAGAAAAATGCTGTGGCTTGGTAGGGAGTCTGGCTGAAAGTTATAGGAGGCTTTCTTTTAGTTTGAATGAGGTTTTAAATAACACACAGAAGTGGTCAAAATATACATGACCAATTTCTGTATAGACTTGAGTTCTCTGCTAATTTATTGCTAATATAATGCTAAGGAAAATTTATGAAGTCCACAAGGCAGAAGCACCATAGGCAAGCACAGTAGAAATCTATGCTCCTTCTCCATCTCTAAAATAGTCCCTCCTAGCCCCGTTGGCATTTGAAAGTATATCATTATACATATATTTATTTCTCTGTATTAAGATATCACATATGCAAAAATCTTTTTTTATTTGACACATAATAAATTCTGTTCAGTAATATTTTACACAAATGTGTTGTCAAACACTGTAAAAATTGTTGAGAATACAAAATTGAATGAGGTAACATCTTTGTTAATTTGTTCACTGTCCAGGAAGGAAATATAGACATGTTAAAAATTGTTCAATGAACTTTCATATGTGCTGTGCTAGAAGGGCAGAATATTGTGAGGGCACAAATGAGGGAATGACATGCCATATTTGTTAAGATGTTTAGAAAAATTCTTTGCTTCATAGAGGAAATGATAATTGGATGTTGAAGGATTAATAGATATCTTCCAAGTAGACAGGAAGCTAGAGTATCCTAGATAAGAAGAGCCTTGTAATTTGGAAGGCCTAGAGCTGGAAAGTAAATTGCAGGCAGTTGGGCATAGGTGGAATGAAGCGTGAAAGTAAAGAGGTGGTGAGGCAAGGACAAGAAGTGAAATAAAATGGGAGTGTAGCTAGGGGGTTGAGAAACATTTTATACCATGAGAAGAAGACATTTGGGACTTTATCCCATTATTAAATGTGGGGGGCATAGAATGGTTTTAATCAGGGAAATGATGTGATCAGATTTGTGTCTTAGATAATTTTTGTCATATTACAGAAGATGGAATCGATGGAAAGACTCTGGAGACAGAGAGACCATTAGAGCCTCATTGCAGCAGCTGAGCTCAGATAGGAGAGGACTTGGACTAAGACAGTATCAGGAGCAGTGAGAGGAGGGGAGCAATTGGGATTTGGGTAGTGCCATTCACAGAGATAAGGAGCACATCAGCAGGTACAGTTTGGAAAGAAAGATGATTTCATTTGGGGCCGTGTTGAAGCTCAGGTGTTTGTGGATAAGCATGCACACAAGAGGCACTTGAACTAGATGAGTTGAATAATTGAATGAATAACTAACTACATGAGAATGGAGCTAGAAAAAAAGTCTGGGCTGGAGATAGAGATGTCACAAGCACACAGTTGGTAGCTGAAATCAGGAGAGAGGAGAAAATCACTTAGGGAAAACTTGTAAAGCAGGAAGAGCTGAGGGCCAAGAATAGAACCCTGAGGAACACCACTATTTAAAGAGCTGAAAAGGAGACTGAGACAATGTAGGCTGAGTGGTAGGATGGGAAACCCAGAAAGCATAAAGTCACAGAAATCAAGTGGCATGACAATGTTAATCATGAGGGAATAGTCAGCAGTTAAATACTGGAGAGAAGTCAAATGTGCAGAAACTAAAAAGATCCCATGAATCTTTCAGGAGGTAATTGACGACTTTTGTTTGAGGAAGGAGTTTAAGTAGTGGTGAAGTATGATCCTACTTGCAGTAGGTTGAAGAGTGAATAAGAGGTGAAGTGAGGGGTCACCTAGTGTAGTCTTTCTTGGAGGTGTTCTTGAGTGGTGGTGAGAGATACAGTAGAGGGTCAAGAAGAATTTATGCTCAATGGAGGACATTTTATTTAGTTTTTCAATGTTTGTTTATTTTAAGAGAAAAGAATCTTAAGAATGATTATAGGAAGAGTCTCAAGGGAAAGATGTAGAAAGAAGAGAAGTAGAAAATAAGGAGAGAAGTGCTAGTGCTGGTAAAATGATAAAGCACACACATAAGGGGTTAGCCCCAAATAGAATTTCTGCCTTCAGCACCACCATCTTCCCAAATTTAGGGATCCTTCCTGCACTATGCATTCAGTTCCAGGAACAATCTACCTAAAATAAGCACTGAACTAGGAACTAGGAGACTTGGATTCTAGTCTCACATCTTGTACCAATGAATTTTATGATCCTAAGCAAGTCACTTACCTTTTCAGGTTACTTAATTTTTAAACTATAACAATCGAGTAGGCTCTTTCCAGGTTGATCTTTCTGTTTCTTTGACCATTTTTGCATACTAAAGTATAAACATATTTGCTGATAGCTAAAATGGCATCTGTCTTCAGGTTCGTTTGTATTGTAATAGTATTCAGAACCTTTAAGAAATGTAGAACAATTTAGATTCCAGATATGAACAAGAAGTGGGGGATTTGAGAGGGCATTTGACCTTCCTGGTATCCTGGAAATCATGTCACATAGATGCTTTTCCACATGTGAGTAGAATTGGTCCTGCCTACTTGTGTTTAAGATGAGAAGTGAGCTAGGGAACAGTGGTTAACATGTGTTCCAGACCCTGGTAATGAAGGAACTTTTAAAGCTTACTGGTAGTAACAGTTGATGATAATAACATTCCTCTAAAAATTCCTTGCCAATCCAAAAAAATTGGAGTTATCCTTGATTTTTTTTCTTTTTAATTTCATCCCATATTCAGAAAACCCTGTTGGCTCTACCCATAAGATATATCTAGACTGATCGGTTCTTATTGTCTCTACTGTTACCAGCCTGGTCCCATTAAGCCACCATTATCTTTGAATTATTACAATAGTCTCCTCATTAGTATCACTGCTTCCACCCTTTCCTCCCTACAATATATTCTTCTCAAAGCAGCCAGATCATCTTATTAAATCATAAGTCAGATCATGTATTTCCTGTGCTCAAAACCTTTGCATGGCTCCCATTTTGAATAAAACGAATTCCAATGGCCTAAAAGGCTCTACATAAACTGGTTTCCCATTTGCTTTCCCAGGCACCCTCAAACCTTATGGCCTTTCACCAGATGTTTCCTCTGCTTGGAACGTGCATCACTTATATATTCAGGCTAATTCCCTCACCTCTTTCAAATCTTTGTTCAGATGTCCCCCTCCCAATGAGGCCTGACTAACCCTTCAAAATTGCATCCTGTTCTCTAGTCTCTACATTGCAATTCTGTTCCCTATCCTTTAGTTCTTATTTTCCTAAGAGCACTTGTAGCATATTATAGAATATACTTGTTTATTTTGTTTAGTATTTACTTTCTATTTCTCCCTGATAGAAAGAAATCAGAGATTTTTATGTGGTTTGTTCATTGATATATCCGATTCACTTAGAAAAGTGCCTGGCACATAGTAGACACTAATGAATATTGATTATTGGTGAATTAATGATAATATTTACTTATTTTTACTTATATTTATATAATATTTAGAGGTTTTACAACACATTCACCTTATTTTTAGGAGGTTTTAGTAAATATGGAAATGGCTTGGGGGAGGGTAACCAATAAAAACAAATGTCAGCCATATAAGTCTGAGAGATTCACCAGAGAAAGCAAAGCCCCAAGGGACTGGAAGAAAGGATATAATAGATATTTGACACACAATGACCCTAGAAAATCCAATATACCCAGGTGCTTGTGTGAGATGTTGCCAGTTGGATTAATGATTTGTTAGTTGGGGCTATAGAAAATAGGAAGATGGTTCCTATCTTCTTAGGAAGATAAGGTAAAGAAGGCATAAAAAAATAAGCATTGCCTAAGTCACAATTTCATCTATATCTGTTCCTTTTTTGGACACTATAATCAGAGAACTTTGTGTTTGGTTGGTTAAGACACCAGTTAAGAAACAGAAAAATTTATTTAAGTCATGCCAAGATTTTTGTATATGTGGTTTATGCATTGAGCATATAATAGGGAAAATACAATTTTGCAAGCAATTTGGAAACAAAAATGAATGAGAATTGATATATTGGAAGACTGGGGCCTTTTTTTTTTAGACAGGTACATTCAGTCTGTGATATATAGCCTAATGATTCCTTAGTGGTAACAGAAAAAGCTCCCAAAGAGTTTGTTTTTAAAATATTACAAACTTAGCCTAAGTGTAATAACATTGCAAATATCTGTCTTATATACCTGAGGGAGACAAAGCTGCTTGAATTTGCATCAACAAACAAATATCTTATTTCTCCCTAAAAAGATAAAATCTCCAACCAAAAAATAACCATTTACTTTTAGCTATAATAACTAGACTAGATTATGAAGCAACTAGACAACTGGGATAGATCCCTTGGGCAGAAAGAGATGATGCTGTGTGTTATAAATTCTACCTGTGGTTATCTTTTACATTTAACCATTGTAATAAAATGAAATAAAACCTGATTTTGTAACTGGAACGTGTTGTGAATGGAGATTAAAAATAGAAGAATTAGGGGCCAGGTGGCTCATGCCTGTAATTCTAGCACTCTGAGAGACTGAGGTGGGAGGGTCACTTGAGGTCAAAAGTTTGAGACCAGCCTGAACAAGAGTGAGACCCTGTCTCTATCCAAAATAGAAAAATTAGCCAGGTGTGGTGGTGCACACCTACAGTCCCAGCTACTTCAGGAAGCAGAGGCAGAAGGATCGCTGGAGCCCAAAAGTTTGAGGTTGCAGTGATCACACCGTTGTATTCTACTGGGGGCAACAGAGTGAGACTCTATGTCAAAAAAAACCCAACAAAAAAAGAGTTAGAATTCAGAATGTAGGAATATGCTACTTTATTTTTCTCCAAAATAAATCTGGATATATAAAATGTGTAGTTTGTTAGAAAGATATTAATTATATATCTAAGTATTCAGTTAGAATATAGAAAATAACAAAATCCAACAATATGTTACTAAAATAATGAATTAACTATAATATTTACTGTTGTTCTTTTCACATATATTGTAGACTAGCTTTCATTTTTAAACAGCTTTTCCATGTAAAAATATACATAACATAAAACTGTTCTTATAAGTTATTCTAAGACTTTGTTACATTTACCTGTATAGCAAATTTTTAAAAAATAGGAATTAGAAACATGTAGTGGTTTCTCCCAAGTTTAATATTTATATTGCTACAAAGACAGATGTTCAAATTATAGGATTCTTCTTGTAAGATATATTTCCTTTAACTTTAAAGATTAGTCTAACTCTAACTTTTCCATTTATAGCACCTTTAGAGCATTATTTTGTTTTTTAATTGAATCTCTAGCTCCAATTCTAGAAACTAAACATTAAATATTAACAATTCAATACTGAACTATTTAGTTATTTTAAAATAAAAATAGTTCTTTCTTCCCAATCTCTTGAAATCATACCTATTAAAAATAATGAGACCAATGAATAATTATTCCAGAAAACACTATTTAGCCTCTTACAATGGTAGCAAGATTGTCATCAAGACAGAGTATATTTGCATGTTCTAATATGTGGGCAGAAATTATCTGGAGGTAAATATAATCCTTTAAACTAAAAAATGAACGACCATTAGTAATTTAACTATGAATTTTTAAAACATTAATTATCTCAGGAAGGATTTTATATGCAATCAGCAAAATTCCTAGTGAATTTTGGGTTAAATAATAAAGCCAAGAAGTCTGGAAGAAAGTGATTTCAGGTTTGCTATTGCAGCTGGGCGATATCATTTCACTTTGTTTGCATCTGCATGTTTTCATTGACCTTCTGTTTGTGGCTTCAAGATGGCCATAGGAGCTCTAGGCAGCAAGACCACACATCAGCATCACAGGTAGAAAGACAGGGGCAGGCACACAAAACTTTCTTCTTGCAAAGTCTGTCTTTTTATCTTGGCACACACAAAAAATTTTTTTCCCCAAGAGTCTCCTAACAGATTTTCTCTGAGGCCTCACTGAATGTAACTATTGTCCCTTGGCTACCTCTAGCTCCAAGGAATATGGGAAGGAGAGTATCTAATAAAGGAAAATAGGATAATGGGATTTCTGTGACTGGTTTGTATTAATCATGGGTCATTTTCTAGGGCCAGCAAAAAGGCCTATCTTGCCTCAGATCAAGGAATCTTAGCTAGATACCTGAAAAAACTGAGATTCCCTTAGGGAAAAGTTGACAAGATACAAAGTAATATTCTTCCCTTATGCCACAGAATATGGCTAAGACCCAAAGTTGAAAATAAAATGAAACTGTATTTCATCTATTACATTACAAGACCCACCAGCAGCTGGGGCTGGCCACTGTCCTGTAAGGCTTACTGAGATGTGCCAGTTCAGAGAAGAGGAGACACCAACTCCTTGCACACTCGTAGTCATTATAGGGGGTGGAGGGAATAGCGTGATTTGGATGAATTTAGTGTTTGTGAAGAAAAGCTTTTCCTTTCTCTCTCTTTCTTCAAGGCCAAGGCAAGAAGAACTCCCAAGACAATAACTTGAAGATTGCAATGGCTACAAGAAGAGGACTGGCATTTGGTTTCCTGAATGACATCTACTCAGGTCTGCCTCTTGGATCCTTTGGTAGCACAGTTCTTGTATCCTTTGGTAGTGCAGACACAAGTGACTAAGAAAGCTCATGGAAACTACTTGTCAAATTATCTACTTTTTCTTTGCTTTCTTTTAATAGATGCTTGTTACGTGGGATCATTTTATTGACTCCTATGCTCAATAATACAGAATAGTTATTAATATGTGAGGCACAGTTGTTAGAGGTTAATGGTGATATGGTTGGGTGCTATTTTGATAGTGTTTCAGACAGGGAACCAGAAGCATCCAGATATTCTCTTCTCCCCTTCTCACTTCCCCCAAGTTTCTTTCTACATGAAGCACAAATCTAAGAAATGATAGCAGAATGAGTATCCAAGAATCACATTATCAATTATCATGCAAGGTTCCAATAACCCTCTGGTAAAGTAGAATTGAGAAATGCATTTTAGACTCAAGCCCTAAGCAGTGATTCTATTTCCCCCCCATTCCTCAGATAGTTCAGGTATGCTCAATAATGGAGAAATCAGCACAATGAAAGGTCAAAAGGAGAAAAAGTGTGAAAACAGATATCCCTACCTAGATCCATAGCCCTTGCTTGGGTTTTGATGAGGTTATAAGGAGGTCTTTCAATCAGATATGGAATTAAAATTTTAAAATTAAGAAAACTAATTCTAAAAAACTGGAATCAAGCTCTGTGTAGTGACAGTATCCTAGCCAGTGAAGTTAAACTGAGGCATGATCATTGCTAATTAAAAAACTGAAATCAGAGTGTCCTAATAACTAAAAGTGGTTACAAAATTCTACAGTCTGAATACAATAGTGAGAGAATAGTTTCTCAGAAAGAAAAGGAAGGTCAAAGGAGGAAGTTTGGTTTAGCTTTATGGAAAAAAACTCCAAACTATTTCATCTTTGTAACTTAATGAATTCTCCAATAAACCAGTCTCATAGATGTGTTTATTGTGTTGTTTGTACGTGAAGTAAATTGTTGTCATATTTGTGCTGTAGTTTGTGTGTTTATATAAGTATATAGGTGTCTATGAATTAAATTATTATTAGTTATGAACTAAAAATCTAAAATAGAAAACTTATATTAAAAGACAGCACATTATTTAAAACAAGCAAAAGTGAATGGTAAAAGCCAGGCACCAAGGAATATAAGTGTGGTGAGAACTGGTGCAGTGAGTATAGAATATCAATGTTTATCCAAACACTCCAGGAAGATTACTCGTGGAGTAAGTATTATTATTATGAAGCATATATTCTCCTTATATGGTTGCTATGAGTCAATCACAGACTTATTTTGAGCTTTCTAGCAGCCATTGTAAAGAAGAAGCATATTTTGATATTTGATTCAAGGTGTCATAAGACAGAAGCTACGCAGTTGCTTAAAAATATAGTCATCATTAATATTAATAGTAAGACCATAAAGAGATGTCCCCTGAATGTCTCAAAATAACACTGTGTACTATAAGCAAGAATTCTTTTAACATCATCCTTGTTGAGAAGCTAGTGACGAGTTTCCAAAGGCTGTATAAAGAAATAAAAATTTGGACGAAGTAGTTATGATAGCCACAGGCTACAAATTAAGTAGATTATGTAATTACACAGACTATGAAAATAAGTGTATCACCTAAGACAAACAGTGTACCCTGTTGTGGTTTTTTTTGGGGGGGGGAGGAACCCACAAGATTTTTTCATGGCTCCTGATTCTGTGTTTGAATGCCAGGCTCATTTGAAATTAATGAAATCATAAGCAGGCTGACATTTTCACTGTAGTTTCCTCTTAAAGGAGAAAATTGTGTGTTGTTAATAGAATATATAATCTAATTTTGAAAAGAATGAAGATCACCTGGCTTTTGTTTAGAATAAAATATTAATTTATTTGCTATTTCTAGTTCTTCAAGCTTAACTGATCAAAATAAAAAATATGTGGTTATGATAGTCATTGATTACTGCAAAAGTATTTGGAATATATATAAAAGTAGGCTTTTAATAAATATTTGTCAAATGAATGCATGAATGGGTGATATTTTGCTTTTAGTCATTCAATGGACTGACTCCTGGCCTTTCTGCCTGTTGTGTCCTATTATTTATGCCTATTATGTTCAGGACAAAATTTGAGCACTTCCTATTGAAACTGAGACATTTAGCAATATTATTGTAATGCTTTAAAATGGTATATAAAATAATACCATTTTTAATAACATGGATGCAGGACAGGTATGTGAGTACACAGCAACTCTTTTATTTTTAGCCTTCAGAGTGAAATCAATGATTACAATAAGGACCTGACCCCAAATTAAGAACTGAAAATACTTAGTAACCAGTTATTAAGAGCAACATAAATACAGAAGCTATTTTCTTTAGCAAACTGTGTCTATGTTGAAATCTGTAATTGGCAAAAACAAAGTAGAACAAAATTACATGCACAGGGGAAAATAGTCAGTCAGTTGCAACTCCTTTGTACCTTAGACTTTCACTCTCTTTGTTTTACATACCCTGGGAGCAGACTATCAGGACTTGGTAAAATTTCTGACTTGGAAATCCTACAAACAAATAAACAAACAACAAACATGCTAATTTAGGGATAAACTTTCTGGGAAACAGAAGACAGTACATATGACCCTCCTCAGTTACATCAACACTTGACTTTATTGCCAAATATAAGTTCTCCTTTTCTTCCCAGCTACTCTTGTTTGGGACTTTGTTATAGTTAACATATATTCTACAGTTTAGATATGTTATGTATGATAACTTATATTTAAAAGTATGCTTTAACCCAATTTTTGCTTTCTATAAATATAATCATTTTATAGCAATGTGACATCAAACTATTTTTTCAAAAAACATCGGTTACATATTTAGTGTCTTCTATGTGACATGCAGCCTTAGGCACTGTTCATTTATAATCTCATTAATCTTCGAAACTATTCCATGAAGTTATTATTTGTATTTTAATATTAAAGAGATGGGGGCTGAGAAGACGTGAATATCTTGAACAAGTTACCTAGTAAGTAAAGCAAAAGATCTAGTATTTGAAAGTAGATTTGTCTGAATCCAGAGTGTTTACTCTTTCAACTATTCTATACTTCCTTTCTATGAAAAGTAACTGGAGATACAAACTATGATAAAATTTAGAAGAAATATAACACGCAGGCCAGAGAGTAAACCTGTTAGCTCTAAATTCTGTGTGTTTTTTTCATGTGCAATTAGTTGCTTTTCTATCAAGAAACTTGATTTAGATTCTAGTTCTGCACTCTCTGTCTTTAAAAAGTATTTCTTTATCTCTGCCTTTTCCTGGATTTAGAGCTCTTTACATTTTTTGTGGGTAATTATTTCAACCTCATGCTCTTTCCAACTAGTGATTCATTATATCTGGACCCTGTATGTGATATCCTATTTCTCAGTGATGCTTGCAAACTGTTTTGTTCTCTTTTAAATGAAAACTGAAAGAATAGAGACAAAATGTGTCTGATCTCACTCTTTAGTGGAGCAAGCTTTCACCAATGTAATTATGTCCTCCAATAAGCTCAAGGTTATTGGATGACTAACATTGAAGTATCTATTTACTACCCCAAACTACAACTATTTGTTACAGTAACTTTGCTGCCATTTTCCTCACCAAATCATTATTTCTGAGAAATGAAGCTCTATTTTAAAATGAAAGTGTTTAGCTCATTTCAAGCTCAACTGTTCTTAGTGTTTTACAATCTGCTTTTTTATGCCTTCTTTCAGATTATTTTTTATGATTTCATTTTATGTTCACTTTTGGCATGTTATTTATTCCACTTTTTAAATTTTGTAATGGTTGTTCTAAGGTTTATAATATACATCTTTAGTTTATAGCAGTCTACCTTCAATTAATTTTGTAACCCTTCACATAAAGTATGAGAACCTTATAAGACTACATGACAGCATATTTCCATTTTCTCCCTCCCATTTTTTATACTGTTGCTACTCATTTTCATTCTATATTTGTTTTAAACCACACAATACATCATTCCTATTTTTATTTTAGACAATTATCTTTTACAGATATTAAAATAAGAATGAAAATACATTTTATATTTTATATTTGTACATATTTTTGCCATTTTGGCATACTTTCTTCCTTTGTGTAGATCAAATTTTCCATCTACTATATCATTTCTTCCGCCTGAAGAGTTTTCTCAAACATTACTTGTAGTGCAGGTCTGTCTGCTGAGGTGAATTCTCTCGGCTTCTGTTTGTAAGAAAAAGTCTTTATTTTACCTTCATTTTGAAAGACATTTTCCCTTGATGTAGAATTTTAAGTTAACAATGATTTATTGTTTTGTTGTGTGGTTCAAAGGTGTTCTTCATTGAGTTTTGGCTTCCATATTTTTTGATAAGAAGTATGCTGTCATTCTTTTGTTTCTCTCTATATAATGGTGTATTTTTGTCTGGCTGCCTTCAAGATTTTCCCCTTACCTTTGGTTTTTATGTGCACACATATGTTTTCCTTAGGGCTTATCTTTCCTTGGGTTCCCTGAGCTTCTTGGACATGTTATTTGTTGATTTTCATTAATTTTTGGTTCTTGGCCAGTATTCCTTCAACTATACCTTCTATTCCATTCTCTCCCTCCTTGTTCTGTAGTTACGCATGTGTAAAAACTTTTGATAATGTTTCAGAGGCATTGGTTACTATATTTTTTTCTTCACTTGTTTTTCTCTTTGTGTTTCAGTTAGGAATTACACTACTTTAAATTGACCTATTTTCAAGTTCACTGATTTTTATTTTTACTTTGTTTTGTCCAATCTGCTGATAAACACATAAAGGAATTATTCATCTCTAAATATTTTTGTTTTTGAATTTTCCCTTTCATTTTATATTTTCCATTTCTCTACTGATAGTTATATTAAACTATTTGTATAATTGTTCCAACATGTGGGACATCTCTCAGTTTGTTTCTGTTTATTATCTTATCTCTAGACATAATTTTTTTCCTTGCTTTTTTTGGTTTGTGTGTGCCTAGTAGTTTTTGATTGAATAC